AACGATGTCGCCGGCAGCAGAAGGCAAAGGCAGCTCCACGCATCCGCAGTAGTTGGAGCCTCTGGCGTAGGCCTATGGAGGAGCCGGCCGTTGTCCGGGCCAGTCCAGGCAATTTTCCTGTTGAATTATGAGGATATTTGTTTCGTCATGAAAGATTGGCCCCAGCCCGGCAGCTGCATTCACTCTCTCATTGTAATCCTTACGCAACGGGCCAACTGCAAGGTTTTTATTCTTTTTTTTCTGTTCTGTGTTCTGGGATTTGAAGTGCTCCTTGTTGGGGGGCAGCGTTTTCAATTTGTTGTTGTTGTTGTTGCTGCTACTGTTGGTGTCGCTGGCCGCAACAGAATCGTCAAGTTAGCCTTCGTCTAGAGCTCACCAAATGCAGTGCCGCACACTGGGGCGCTGCAAGTGAAATGCACTCCGCCGACTCCAGGGGTTGCGGGATCAGGGCACTGGGTTAGGTGTCATAAGAGGAGCCGCACACACACATACACACACACTCACAGACACATGTACTTGGTATATCTGCCACAGAGTAACACATGAGTCTTAGCCGGACCACGGGCTGGCCCGATTTCATCTACAATTCATAGAAATTTCAAACGATGCGTAAACGAAAACGGAAAATACACAGCAGCCGAGGAAGAGCAGGCGGAGCAGGCAGAGCAGCCATAGCTGAGGAGCAGGAGTAGGCAGAACGGCTCAAAACGTGGCAAGCTCTTGGTCATCTTTTTAGTCCAGAGTCCGGGGTCAAAGTAAACGAAATTGTTCAACGCAATGCAATGCAACTTCTGGCCAAAAGGACCAAAAATTGCGTTTTTGAAATGCATACGCAAGACAGAGATACACAGAGCGAGAAAGCAAAGCAAAAAGAGACACACAGAGAGAGAGAGAGAGGGAGCGAGAGGGAGAGGCGGGAGAGAAGGAGGCAGAGTTAGTTTGGGCTAGGCAGCTAGCAAATCCGACTTTGGTTGATGATGAGTGTCGTTATCGCTTTTGTAGAGCTTCGTTTTTGTCATAGCTCTCTGCAAGTGGGCGACTCCCGGGTCTGGTCTGAGCAACGGCTGCGGGGCTTACGACTATTTCAACTGCAACTTGAATTTACATTTCGATATGTGGCCAGGCACAGCAGCAGCAGCAGCAGAAGCAGAAGCAGCAGCATCCAAAACAATCAAGAAAAGCAATTGGTGTAGCTTTTGGCTAGGCTCTCAGCCGGAAAAGAGTCGCAGTCGGACGGACGATGATGTAGCTGCACGGATTGATTTACGTTCGAAAAGATTTCTCAAGTGCGACAGTGTGTGCATAGCACAGTTATACAAACAGCTTACAGTGTTGCCACCCCCTTGCATTCCAGTCCCCTGCCCTTGTCCTGGCCCCTGTCCCTGCTCCTGGCCAGCCCCTCTTCTTCCTCTTCATCTTCCACTCCATGACTGCACATTTTTCTATATGTTTCTGCATTTTGACTACTTGGCTTTCAGATTGAGAACGAGCGAGAGAGATGACTGAGATTTATCAAAAGGTAATTTATACATGTGGGTGTGTAATTTATATATAGATATATACACCCCGAAACATCACCCACACAATCTTTTGGGCTTGTTTACTCTGCTGTCTGCTGCCTGCTGTCTGTCCTTGTTGTGCTATTGCAGTTGCATGTGCAACTTACGCAACAATTTTAGGAGTATTTCGTTGATAATAAATCGCCTGCCCAAGCATGACGTACGACCAAGAACCCTCTGTGTCGGAATCGGAGTCGAAGACAAAGGCTGCATAGAAATTACCCATCGTTGACCAGCCGGACATGATTTTCATGTCACACAAACAAAATTTGGACTACAAATTTGAATACCAAACTTAGCTTCAGTGCATTCGAGTCACATGATTATGCACTGACTTGACCAGACTGTGGCGGCAGAGGCGGATCAATAATTGATCTCAGCCTCAAAGTAAAATTTATTTGATTTTGAATTTAAAGGAATCAGTCGCAGGATCCCTCGGAAGTATCTTAGAACAAGCCTCAAACATAGACTTTATGCTGATTAAACTGGGATTAGAGAGTGTTAAAAAACTTTTTTCAGTAAAAATTTTCTCTAATGTCAACATCGATTGTCATACAGTCAGCAGAGCTCTGTCAGCTGCAGATCCTGTCACCGCGCAGGCAGGATCCCAGTCCATCAGGATGTGCGGATATGAGAAACATGTCGGGCAGGAGCGCAAATGCATAAATTCAATTTTCGCATAGCAAAAGAAAGAAAAAGTTGCATAATTTAACGCTGTCTATAGACGCGGCTGAAAGGACGCTTGGCCAGATGGACGGATGGGTGAGTTCGTGTGGATGTGCTTGCTGTTTGCCTGTATCAATGGCCATAATGGAGGGCGCTGAAGGGCAACGATATGATGTAAAAAATTGCAAATCGAATCGAGCAGCCAAACGAACGAATGAATGAAGGTGGGCAAGTGGCGTGAGGAGGGCAGGGTCAAGCGAACCGGCTGGTCTGCATACCAAAACGTCAAGAGCACTCGCACGACAGTTACTCGCCTAAGCCCCCCGCTACCAGATAAGCCTCCAAGCCATGCGAGTTGCGAGCTGCGAGCCCGCAGTCGAACCCGGGCCGGGCAATGGCCACGGTATAAACATTGTTGACATTTGCCAAACCTACTTTAATCACTTTTTAACCCCATTTGATACAGTGTCAACATGCATGGGGCGGCGGCTCATAAAATGGACAGTCGACAGTTGGCAGTCCGTAGTAGGCAGTCCGAAGTCGGCAGTTCGTAGTCGGCAGTCGGCAGTCGGCAGAATCGGCTGTCCGATAAGGACAGAACCTGAATGCAACGCACAAATAAAAGAGGAAAAACTGCGCCGAGTGACAAAAAATGCCAATGACAAACGTCGAAAAGGGAAAAAAAAGCAGAGCAAAAATATATATCCAAAAATGGGAGCGCAACAGTAAAGGACATTCTGGCCACGTTGACCCTCGTGCCGTAACCCGTGCCTGGCCCACTGCCCGGCCTGGCGCCTGGGCATGGTCAACGAGCCGAGCTGCCAAAGCAATTGATTTACTGCACTTTGTTTGCCAAAAATTAATTGAGTTGATGACAAGTGCAATTGATTTATGCGGGACTCAAATGAGTGTGGACAAACGCATGGATGAGCGGACGGACGACCCGCCGGACGGATAGATAAAAGGATGAGCTGATGGATGGGCTGGCGGAAAGAAGCTTAAATGGATGGATAAGCAAAAGGCCACTAATATGCGGGCCACTGCCTCCAGTTCGAATCTCCAAGACAAAAAGACCATCAGGAAACTAACTCTGGACCTAAGCCTGTAAAAATATTCGTTAAGCAAACGTCTGAAAGCACTTATCGTATACCGGACTGAAATGATATTCTGTTAGAATAAGAAGTTGAATTCACTGAATATTATTGAAATTGTCGTTACAGATAGGTGGGCAGAGGTAGAGAAGACAAGATCATAGCCTGAAGCTCAAATTCTTTCATTCAATGAAACCATTTCGAAGTACATCAATCCTAGTTTTCCAATAACATATATATATATTTATAGATTTTTTCATATAATATTCCTCATATATTCCAAGCACTTCTAATTAACTAATGCACGCAGCTCTAGTCGTTGCCCTTAACGCTTTTTTGAGCGCTCGACGCTGGCTCTTTAAGGCTGTTGTCGCACAACGACAGGTGTCAAAGGCAACGGTGTAAAAATGTTACCTGTGTGAGCCCCCATCTTGGTTCCATGTTCTGTCACGGAAGCGTGCCGCGCACACATGTCAGGCCGTGCTCTCGACCAGTTGGTCGGTTGGCTGGTTGGCTGGTTGGCTGGTTGGATGATTCGCCGTTTGGCCGTTTGGCTGGCGCTGGTTTAGGCCAAAAATGAGCGACGCAACGGAAATAAGCGCCAAGCGGATGCCGACAAACGAAGCAAATGATTCATTTCCGATGATGCGACAGAGTTGCGCGCCCGCGTTCTCTGCCCCAAACTGGCCCAACTGCCCCGACTGTCCGCTGTAGTGCGCCTTGTCATCGTCGACGGTCGCAACCAAAAATTTGCATGAAATGCAAAATCAAACGGGTCGCGGGCATTTGGCAGCACACAGCACACCTAGAGGATGCGTGCCTATGTGTGTGTGTGTGTGGCAGTGGCAGCAAGGCGTTGCTGGCTGGCATCACGCGTCACGTTTCACATGCCCCGTGGAAGTTGACGACCGACTGTTGCCACTGTTGCCGTTGCCATATTTTATGAGTCCGGTCTGTGGCGCAGCGTGTGTTATTGATATGCTAACGGTAAATGTCATTGGAGGGCGGGAGGTCACTGGCGTTCGCTCTGCATTTGACGGCTGTGCCCCATGCGGAAGTGGTTAAACCGAGCCATAGGCCAACGCCAGCTCCAGCTCTGACCGGTGCGACATATGTCGCGGCCAAACGTGTGAAATTTTAAGCCAAATTTTGCACTGGGCGCGCCCCCATTTATAATGCGACCAGCCCCTGGATACATGTGGCAGACAACATATTGGAAATCAAAATGTTGACATGCAGCAGGCAACATTTTTCAATTAAGCTGACAACAACAAGGACAGCGACAGCAACAGCGACAACAACCTGGACTCGTCTAGTATGTGGAATGTTATCTGACCTGGCCAGGATGGGCTAAGATGGTTTATAATACAACAAGTCGCATAATGGAAGCTCTTTCGTTATTTCTAGTCATATGCTCGATAGAATGTTAAATCGTTAAATGCGTTAAGTTGTTAAAAAAGCGAAGCTCATTCAGATTAATAAATGTATTTACTTAAATTTTCATGAAATTTGATCTTTCAGGTAGATGGACAGGAAAGTGGAATTGGTTTATAGCAGAACATTGTCATTGTCGAAGTTAAAAAGAGTTGACTTTCAATCTGATGAATATGAGAATGAACTGAAAACCAAGTGAAAGTACTTGTCTAGCACAAAAGAACATTTTTAATATCTTATGCCAGAGGTTAAAAAACACTCGACTGAATTTTGCATTTGAAAGTTTCAAGAAAAGGTATGGATTAGGCGATTAGAACGACAATAGTGGGATAATTGGAATGGAGTACCTGAAGTCTATAGATTAGAAAGTTACAGAATGCCGGACAAATTTAAAGCAGTAATATCAACTAAATTGCGAACCCTACCACACCCTAAATATAGGATATATACGTATATACATATTGACACACACATATATATATATATATATATATATATACAGAGATATATACCAATTCGGATTAGATAGTTGAACGTGTTTTCTGTTTTGTTGTGTTTTCTTGTTCTGTTTTGTTAATTGTTTTTTTTTGTGTTTTTCATAAATAATCCCGACTCCTGACTTGCGTAGGTCCACAGCTACATTAGCAGCCATTGCGGCTCGGCCGGGAGCATTCACTGGCAATTGTCCACAACTGAACTGGAATAACTTAGAGCTGTGCACAGCTGCCAGTGATTGCGCAGGTGGGATTGATTTGGTATGGGGCACTCTTTCTTATGGAATAATTACTGTTTAGTGATAATCGTGGGCATCATCAACGTCAATTAAACAACGCTTGCTAGTACGACTGTGATGTCGTCTGGCTTACCGCCAGGCGCATCGATATTGTGGCGTCTGGCATTTTGGGTAAAGGGCGACTCATGGTTGGGATTGAAGCTGAGCGAGCGGGCCATCAATGCTACCGAATTGGCGTACATCTGCAGTTTGACGGGATCGGTGACGCCGGCTGCATGGCTGAGCACCTGCAATAGCAGCTCCTCGGACACATTGTCATAGACCCCGTCAGTGGCCAGTATCAATATATCGCCCGGCTGCATATCGAACTCCAGCAATGCGGCGCACTCAGGCCCATCCGTCAGCACATTGAGTCCCTGTCCGGGCGGCGGCACGGCTAGCTGATACGGCGTATTGAAATGATGCTGCTGCTCCAAGGAGCGACACACAATGGCCCCATCGCGTATGATCAACAGTCCGCTGTCACCAATATTCGCTGCATAGAGAATGCCACTCTCCCGGTTCAGAGTCAGCACACAGGCGGTGCAGCTGCCAAGAATGGGCTGTTTCTGTTCCAACAGATTGCAGTAGGCGCGCGCAAGAAGTTGTTCAGGTCGTGTCGATTCAAAGTCGGCAGAGTGGGCTAGACGCTCACAGGAGCGCATCAAAAATCGACTAAAATGGCCTGGATCGATGCCATATACTCGCCAGCCGCCCACGCCATCGGCCACGCCCAGTGCATCCGCCTTCGACGTGGAAGTCCTGAACCAAGCATCCTCACCAAACTGACCCTTCACATAATCGGGATACATGGCGATATCTTTGGGAAATCCGCAGACAACACTAACCAATCGGATTTGATCTGGAGTGAATGTCGTTGTTGATTGCAAGTCTAATTCTGCGGTTGAGGGCGTCGGCGAGTTGGGCGGCGATTCCGATGTCGGCATTACCTGGACCTTCAGGCCCATTAGACGACTCAGAACTTGAAAGCCGGTACTCGTTGCCAACGTACCGGCCATGCTGGCTGCCTCCGTCAGGGAGTGGTAACTGCTGTTCATCGCCCGTTGAATGTTGCGTCTGGCATTATCTAAATAGTCATTCATGTTTCTCACAATTCGACGATCAACAACGAAACAACGACCACTTATATAGATATATGTGTACGAATATATTATCTTCTTGCGAAAAATATTTACCTAGTAGAAGCGACACATAAATACGAAAAATCAGACACACGAAAGAAAAAAATTAAAAAGGATTTCCAATATTTGTTATGTGTGTAACTAACAAAAGCCGAAGTAAAACTAACTGAGATCCATTCTCAACATAGACATGTTTAGCAACGCATCGAGGCGACGCCTACTCAACACGATCTTCAGATAACCAAAGGGATCTTCACAAGAAGCTATGAAACTTTAGCGCCAACTTCAGCTAGAAACTGAATTAGGAAAACATTTCTTCTTTTTAGAATTTATTCAAAGCACTTAAGGTCGATTAACTCTGACTCTAGTGTGAAGTATAACACCTGAATTTGACAGCTTGCTTCTACATCAGCAGTTGCTTTGAGTCTCCTATTTTCACATACGCGTGCACCTCGCGAAGACTTCATTTCGAAGCCACTAAGTGGCGCTCGAATTCATTAGATTCACATGATCGAGCCACTGTCTGTGATTGATGCTGGCAAGTCACCTACGATCAGCTTAAGATTCGATCTCTTATCATCTCGTTGCCATATTCTAGGCAAATGCTATTGATTCTCCACTTTTAATCCCTTTTTCTTGCAAGTAAACTAAAACGATCTTCTCTATCAAACTTAAAGCATTTTCAATAAGTTGCTGTCAAATATGCAACGAAATATTTCCATTTATTCTATATGCTTAAAGCAGCTAGCTTGTGGCCCATTAGACCTGCACACATATTAACAAATATCGATTTTATGTTGAGATTCAAATAACCTACATTTACTGTTCAATCAGAGAAGCTTGAAATCTACTAATAAAACATTGCTGCAAATGGAGCAAATATCAAATATCAAACCGAAATGCTATTTAGTCAATTTAAAGCCAGTGTGGCACATTGTAATTGCATGTGGCAGGCATGCTGAGACAGCGGCCACATGCCTGCCACACAGTGTTGGCCAAACAAAAACAGTTGCCTACTTACGCACAGCGCAGACAGCCACTCAAATCTGACAGTCAATCAGTCAGGCACTCCTCTGCTGGCTGGCTGGCTGGCAGCTCCATCTTCATGTCTGCTCGTCTGGCAGGCATGTGTATCTGTTTGTCGCTCTATTTGCTTCAACACCCACTGCAAATTAAATTCATTAGTCAACTTCCGGTTTCACAAACACAGACACACACACACACATGGCAAAGCTGTAAGCTGTAGCTGAAGCCGTTGCCATGTGTTGCTTGCCTCAGCTGACTGCCTGTCAATTCAGACGGATTTGAAGTCAACTCAATTTGAAATCAATAGTGTGTGAATAATCCTTTCACACCGACGTGCGTCAATACACACTCATAGATCTCCCTCTCTCTCTGTCTCTTTCTCTTTCTAGTTGTGCTGCGGACCTGCAGTTGCAGCTGGTGCATTGGGTGCATCTGCTTGTCTAGCTGGATGCCTGGCTGGCTGTGTACTTGAAAACATTTTTGCATTGATTGCACTTCATATCGTTCGCTCGCTCGCTCGCTCATTCATTCATTCATACAGTCGTGCAGTTGCACAGGCCGTTTATTCATGGCCTGCCATTGGCATATGTTGCTTCATTTTGGGGCACATGCCGCATGGCAACCAAAAAAGCAGCTGCCTGCCTCCCAGCCAGCCATTAAGCCAACGACTCCTCTGCCGCATTACCAAAAGTATTTAAGCAATTCAATGCCATTTTGACAGCAGGCACCACGGCCTCCCCCTCGGCTCCCTTCCGCACCCACCCATCCCCGACCACACTGCATTTTACAGCTGCACTTCAGCCACGTCGAGTGCCAAGCAATGAGCTATGCATGCAATTTAAGCGCCAGCCAAGTGCCGCTGCCGCCTGCCCATAGCCTGAATGCAACTGCATTTGTTTGCTGCCCCACCTTACAAGCCACACTCGCTCGCTCCCTCTCTCTCCCCCTCGCTCTGTCCCTTTTCGTTATCTTCCCATCCAATATAAAACGCCCCGAAAAAAAGGAAAAGAATTCATTGCAGGAGGCGCCACTAGGAGCACTGCCAACGGCTGCTGCTGCTGCTGCTGCTGCGGCTGTCATTGTAACGCGCAGTTAAGTTGCCTCAGGCTCCTATTAAGGTCGTTTGGCTATTAAATAAGCGTCGCCGGGGCAGTGGGGCCCAGTCGGTGCATGCATGCCTCGCGCCTCACCTCCATGGCCACTTGGCCTGTTTGTGTCTGTAATTGTGCATAATTGAGTTGAATTTGGCTGCCACTTGAGGGGTAGGCTATAAGAATGGGCGAGGCTGCTGATGCAGATGCGTTATGAATAAATGCAGCTGCTGCTTATAGGTATATGTGTGTGTATGTATGTATATTATGTACAATTATGTGAGTTGATAGGGATTCGTTGATATTTGCTGATTGATTTCTTGGAACAAATGCGAGCAGGAGACCCAGAGAGTGTAAAGATGATGACAGAACCTGAGAGGAAAGGAAATAGTCAAAGAATTACAGCTAGTAAAACTAAAGTAAACCAACGTGAAGATCTAGAGCAGCCAGATAATATGAATTAAAGGAATGTGACAAAAAAACAAAATGTACTTTTATTCAGAACTACCTGACCTGATCTTGACTTATAATTTATCAAATGTCTCTTAAAGCCCAGTTACACCATTTAAAGCATAAATAAATAATACAAATTCAAGAAAATATTTATATAAATTAAATTAATGATACTGAATAAATCCTAATAATATTTTAATATTATTTTATTGTATAAAAATATATATATTATTTTATAAATAAATATACATATATATTATATTTTATATATTTTATATTTTATGCCTAAAATAAAATTCTTAAAATGTGAGCTTATATAAAATAACAATTTATACAAAAAATTTTCTGTATTAGAAAAAACCAGAAGCCCGCATTAGAATATTTAAAATTTATGTAAGATTAAATTGTGTCCATGTTCTACGTACAATGCATTGGGCCAGCCATTATGGGCTGACAGACGACTAGGCCGTTGCAATGCCAAGCTACACTCCGTACAGCAAAGATACCAAATTTTGATTGACAATTGCTGTGGTCGAAATGCTACAAGCAGCTGCCACTACATGCCAGCTAAGGCTATGTAGCAAATTCAAATTCTCTGACTGCCATTCATAGGCACATTCACATTCAGATGCACAACATTCAGCCAAGCATTTCAATTAATTTCATTAGATTTGTACAATTAATGCATAGCAGTGGGCAGCCGGACGCGCGGCTGCAGCTCCCATGGGCTGCCACTCAACGGCCAGACAAAGGCAACAATGGCAGCTGAGGTGGGCCCGAAGGGGGTGGCTAACTCGACGTCCAGCCGCAATTGTTGCTGACCAATGATCAATTTAATAGGAAAACAATATTGATAGCCCGGCCGAGGGAGCCAGACGTATACGTCGCCAGGGACCCGGCCGGACAAGACACTTGACGTTCAAGTTGAAATGCTCAATGGAGGCGGAAGTGTTGCGGTTAGGGTTTGGGTTTGGAATCGGGTTCGAGTTCAGGTCTGGCCCGGGTCTGGGGTTTCGGTACACGCATTCAGTGGCAACGGGTCAGGCTCTATGCATTGTTTGTTTGAAAACTTGCTCGAAAACTTTTGGTGTTGTGTTGTAACTAAATTTTAGAGCATATACATACACACACACACACACACACATATATATATATATATACACATATAGAGACACCCACACACGCAGCTAAGCAGTTTAAGCTGCAGCTAGTTGGCAACACTTTCACTTGTGCGTTGTCTTTGGACAGTGGCTGGGCTCTGTTTGGTTTCTTGTGGTTTATTATTCACGCCTGAATTGATTGTAAATTAAAGTTTGCCAGGACCTGGTCCTGGTAGGTCCTTGGGTCCACAGGTCCTTGCCAGTCAGCGCTCGTTCGTTGTGCATTTTGAGGTCAGCCTATGGCAAAGTTTTCTTTTGTGTGCGAATTGGTTACTTGGGCCGCTCTGGCCCGGCCCCCGCCAAGCGCACGCTCCGGCCGACGCTTGTGTCCTTGTCCATTCTGGCAGGTCCTTGTCGCCAGTGTTGTCTGTCGCCTCGCTGCCCATATTAGAAGCCAAAAGGCATTCAAGTGCACATAAGACGATTACACATCATTTAACCGACGCACAGCAAAACTATGAGGCCATGCCCTCCCCCCACTTGCTCTTATCCGGCGTCTGTAATTGTTGCTTCTTGGCAAGGACTGTGCGGACTCCTTAGCCCGCCTTTATTGACTGCTGCATATTGATTATTGTTACAATGCCAAGCGCCCAGCTCTGCCAGAGACTTCATTTTGCTGCTCTTTTAACATGACTTCACTTGATTGCCGGCATTTGTCCTTCTTGTTTAAAATTCAATCGTTGTCCTTACAGACAGTCAGACAGACACACAGCCAGACACACATTGAAAGATGTAGAGACATGTGTATAGCCGAGTGCTTGTCAGAATTTTAAGACAAAATTAATTTGGTGTTAATACAGTGAAAGTGTTTCCAACTTAAGAGTTTAAGTTTACACGCAATAGTTTTGTTGTTTGCATAACTTTAAGATCTGAACTTGGGCTCCGTATATTTTGGGGCTAATTGTTGGTTTTCTGATTAGTTATAGATATGCGTTCTTTGAAGTTGAGAGTCTTATTAGATGAGTGTGTAGGGGTTTAATCAGCTGTAATGTTCAGTTATGCTTGGGTGGATAGGGTAATGTTGATTTCTGTTTTGTCGATGAGATGTCTTCAAATGCCAAGAGATCTCACAGAATATAATTCAAAAAACAAACAAAACTTCTACATAGACTTTCCTAGATCTAGCTTGCTTAAATGAATGAAATAATATATGATATAAGATAATATCTACGTATGCATAGTCGGTTTAAGTTGTTATAGAGCTAGGCTTTAACTGACATCTGCTGTTGGAGTGTGAGACATGAGTGAGTAAATTAATGGGTGACAGACTCTAACACGGAGCGTCTTCTGTGTAGTGTAGTGTACTTACCTTTTAAGCTCGTGCTGTGTGTGAGCGCGGGTCAACTGCTTAGGTACGAAACTTTTTGCCACTTGGCCAGATTGCTCAAGTGGCCAAGAAGGGCAGGCGAAACTGGCAACTGGCAACTGGCAACTGGCAACTGGCCGCTGCCCAGGCATGCACTTGGCGATAGTTACTCACCCAACTGTTTATCCCACTAACGCATGCCATACTTTGTGGAGTGCAAGCCGGCAGCTAGTATATGGCCGTCGGGTCGGGTGGCTGGATGCTTGGACATCAAAGTTGGCAACTTTCGGCTTGAGGAATTTTCGACAAGGCGACTTGAAACTTTTGTTACTTTGCAGGTTGTGAAGATACCTAAACACAAAAAACCAACAACAGGCCAGAACAAGAGCAAAAAAAGACACCACGAAACCGGGCACACAGCAAACGGGCTAAACAAGAGCAGCAACAGCAGCGGCAGCAGCACCAAAAAGTATAAGGCGACGAGCTTTGGATTTAATTGTTGTGTGTGCCGCTCACCGTAGTTGCCTGCCATATAAATTTGCCAGGGCAGACAGAAGGACGCTCAGGTGTCCTTAGTGGTGTTCTAATTACTAACAAACTTAATTTCCTACAAGTTATTTGCCCAAACCCTCGACATTCGCTGTGCGACCAGCCACAGCGTCTTAAGACCACGAGCCACTCGACTGCATCTCGTGGTTGCCGCTTTGCTGGTAACTGCTGGCTTAATGTATTGCCCGCTTGCCTGTACTTATAGGCGTCCAAATTACTCGAAGTCTATACCAATTGCAACAGTAGCTCATTTGATATATGTGCATATGCAACGTGGGATAGATATTCATCAGCTGATCAATGCTTGGTTGATTATGCCCAAGCAATCTCTAGTATATATTACAGATTGAGCAAATATGATGTCTACAAATATCTAAGCGCAGCTGACTGAGGTTTCTAGCTGGTAAGAAACTCTGGCATAAGCGCTGTTAGATAAATTGCTGTGCAAGACTTAGCTTTTAGATATGTCATAGCATATTTTAACGAAGTATAAACAAAACTAAAGCTTAGACCTTTAGCTTGTGCAAGTTTCGAGTTTGCCGTCTTCTATTAAATCTTAAGAATTTTAATATTTCAATAGATACTAAGTCACGTTTTGATCTAAGTCGTGGCTGGTTGAAATGCAGCTGCAGCCCCGAGTGCCACATCAATGTCGTGGCTCAGCACTTCATTGCGAGAAAGAGAGAGAGAGAGAGAGTTGAGTCTGAGCAGGCAACCGAGACTAAGATGAAGTCCCAAGTCCTGCAGCAAGTCTGTGGCGCGGTCAGCTTTAAGCACCGTTAGACCGTTAGACCGACCAAAATGTTCATTGTAAATTATGCGCTTTGGTTTACAAACTGCATGTGCCGGCCAGCACGAAGGATGTGGCAGGTCATTCGGTTGGCAGCGACAAGAGAACTTGACTTGACTTGGACTTGAGAGGCTTCCCCCACCTCCCGCCACCTGCCTCCCAGCGAGCGCCCACTTCGTGTTGTGCTTTTATGTTGTTGTGTAACTAATGCGTGGTCAAAGTTGTTGCCATGTATTCAAATGAGCTGCGTCGCACAGGCTGCGGCTGCAACTTGTTTGGCAACTTCTTAGACATACTTTTCTTAGACTCCTCACTCTCCCTTTCCCTCTGCTTACCCTCCCCACCACCCTCTCCCTCCCACCAGGCTGGACATCAGCATTGGAGTCGCTTGCAAATATTTTATGCTTTACGTGGTCAGGCTACGGCAGCTTGAGAAATTACGTGGTGCTCCGCATGCAGGCCTGCCCCACATCCACACCAGCACACCACCAACCCACATTCCCACCCCCATACGCATTGTCTTTTGTTAGAGACTTGCATTTAGTATTTAACATGCGCTGCCTAAAAGTATGCAAAGTTATTTCTTGCAAACCTTTTTGCGCCCCGAACTAAATGCTGCGTCTAACTCGCAGCGCCTCAAACTTGACTTTTTATCTCTGACGACCAAAAAGGCAACAGTCCCCACCCACTCTCTCCCCCACGTTCAACCCCGAAGTGTGCTGTCCAGCAAAAGCTTTTGTGTACTTAGCTGAAAGCGCCGAAAAAAGTTGTAAAAATCGTGTAAAAAATTTGCGCAGAGAAAACGTGCAAAATGCGTTTAGTTCTACGTAGTTGCCACGCCCAACGTCCGACTTTCTCTAATAATTTATTTTAATGATAATGATAATGCATAGCAGCTATTCGGGGTCGCATAATGACCGACATCGTCTCCGGGCTTAACTAAGTGACTTGCTCTGTGTCACACTCGTCCGACCGGATTAGGCGGATGGGGCGGGCTTGGTTTGGCTTGGCGTGGTTTTAAGGTGCGTGGCTCGCGCCTAAAACTTTTGCTCCACCCACTAGCTAGACCAATAACTAGCCGTTCCCCATTCTGCCCCGAAATATATAAAGTGCCCAGGCATGCCCATCTGAGGGTCGAACAAGAGACTTTGTGGAGTGGGTGGGCTGCTTGTAGCGCATCATTGTAAAACCCTTTCGGCGGCTACAAGACAAGTGCAAAGTTTTCGCCACAAAAACTTTTATAGAAGCATAAAACTTGTGCATTTTTCTACAAAACAAAGAAGAAACAAAACAAAAAAAATTAAAAAAAAAAAAAAAAAAACAACCAAATAGGAAAAGAAATGGGAATAAACACCATTGGTCTCTGTGTCTTTTTTTTTACTTCTGCTGAATTTTTGTTGCTGCCGCTTAAAACAAAATGCAAATAAAAAAGTTTTTTACTCGCTTTTTTCGTTTTATTTTTGTACGTAGAACTAGTTGGGCGCGGGTTGGACTAGCAGTGACCCAAACGTCTTGGCCCCCGATCGCACTGCACTCGCCCCAGCTGCTTCTTCATCGTCTAACCAATCTGAGCGCCACTTGGCAGTTGTTCTTGTTGTTGTTGTTGTTGTTGTTATTGTTGTTATTGTTGCGGTTTCTTCATGAAGTGCGACCCTTTTTATACCACGCAATCGGAGGTAAGCAGCAGGCAGTCACATTTAGCCCATAAATATGGTTTTAAAGGCATTTCTCTACGCTAAGTGTTGCCGTAACTAAGGCTTAGGGTTTTACAAATTATGTTGTAGGTATTTTGTATTTATAAATACAATTTTACAATTTTTTTTTTATTTAAATTTTTATAATATTTTGAATATCTACTTTAATTTTTTTATTATTTTATATTTATATTTATTTTACTTTTTATATTTATGGAGATATATTATATATTTTTGTAATTATATATTTTTATATATACTTTTTTTTTAATATTTCAAAGATTACATTCCTTTTTTATTTATTTTAAATTTTTCATATTTTCTTATTTATTAATTTTTTTATATATGTCTCTTTTATTATTATTTTAATTTAAAATTTTCGTAGTTTTATATTTTTGTACTAATAATTTCTTTTATTTATATTTCTTATTATTAATATATTTTTAAAATATTTAAATATTTTTATATTTATATATATTTTTATTTTTATATATTATATACTTACATATTTATATTTTTTTTTATATATTTACTGATTTTAGATAAGTTTTTATGCGATGATTATATTTCAGGCTAGTTGATATAATTGATATAATAGCTAATAATAGCTTGAAGAAACACTTAATATTGTATTTAGATCTTCTTTGATCTAGGTATCTTTATATGATGTTTTATACTTTATAGGTTTAATGCCTTAAGATACATATATTTTTTGTTTTATTCAGTATATAAAACATGCATTTATTTGTATAATATCATTTGGTATTCTATAGAAGTGCGTCTTTCATGAAAAATTAATAAGATTCTTAAATCATTGCTCAAATGGTGCTATTCAGAAACTTAAAGCCATATTTTACCATAGTTATCTTAATATATTTGATCAAACTTGGCAAAATTACTAAAATAAACCAATTGAGCTTTGTTATTAAGCGAATATTTAGCTGACATAAATCTTAGCTTAGTTACGATGGGTGCTGCTTAAGGATATATATATATATATATATATATATATGATAGGTTAGGTATTCTGATATGCCCATATGAGTATTGCAGTAACTATTTGCGCTTGATCACCTCCTGCTTCTGTTGTGGCACCCGCTCCCACAGTGTGCGAAAGTGCGTATCCATTTTGCGTGGATTGAAGTTGGCGATGGTGTCCTTCGCGTAGTTATGCAGAATGGGCGGCAGCTCTGCGGAATCGTCAGCGTCATCTTCAGTGTCATGGCCTAATGAAGCTGACTCATCTACATCCATGAACTCCAGTGCATGCGACTAGACAATTATCGAAATGGTTTATTGGGGCCGGTCATCAGGGGCTGTCTCACCTTCAACCTGGCAGGCTGACTGACTGACTTACCTGATAGCTGGCGAAGACTGATAGTAGAAGTAGTGCGAACAGCAGCGCTAGCGGTCGCAGCGGCAGCGGCAGCCGCAGCCTTGTGCATGGGGAGGCCATCAACAGCAACAATAACAAATACAGCTACAACAACAATGTGCAATAAAAAACCCACAACAAAAATCGCTAAAAAATTGGCTCACAACATTTTACGTTGACCAGCGAAACGCGACTGGCCGCAGTTCGTCATACGTCCAACCGTTGGACCCAAGCGCACACTGAGCGGGAGAGAGAGAGAGAAAGAGAGCGCGTGAGTGAGATCCCCCTACTTACCTCCCTCCCATGACGCTAGCACCTGGCCTGTTCGGCTGCTACACGTGCACCGCATACCGTAAAGCTTGAGCTGACCCTACAGCACTTGGTCTATTTATAGCGTAGTGCGTCATTTGCTACCCCCTCGCAGCTCGCACCCCATCCCAACCCCAATGGAGCTTAGCTTTTGCCAATGTGGGCATTTTTTAAATAGGTGCCAACTGCCGCCTCCCCGAACAAACATATTTCCAATCCACATCATGGAAATTGTTTTCTGTTTTGTTTCTCTCCTTTTAACTGTGCTGACTGGTTAAATTTTTGCTTTTGGCTTTCAATTTTGATTGATGCATGTGAAAATTATTAGCCAGAACGGCAAGTTCTACATTTGGCTATATAATGGAACGTTGAACCGGAACTGGAACGTGCGTGTGGAGATGGCAATGCAAAAGTTGAGCGTGAACCGGAAGCTCTCATAGCAAAATCAAAGCCAGCTGAGCGATTCAAATGTGACGAATCCAAAATGAGAGGTTTACAATCAATGAAAACTGGGAAATTCCAAGCTTATTTATAAAAGGTATAGTTGCGGTTGCCATACACAAAAGTTATCACTGATCAAGTCTGTTTTTCGATATGACATTCAGCTATTCAGCTGTTTTTTACATGAATTCGGAATGTAGTTGACATATTGAAGCAGTTAAATGTCGATCAGAGTACTAGTTGTTACTGGAAAGACCCACTTATCAGCATATTTTAGAGTACTTCCCTTGCCATCCAGTTTCTTACGGCACGCAAATCGGCCAACCACCTAAAAATTCAATTAATTTTGGGCTTATCAGCAAATGCAATCGTCGCTGGCTATGAACTCATCCATATGGTCGTGATAGGCAGGGTCCAGGCCCGGGCATGGCTGTGATGTATCTCTCATGTATTTAGTAAACATAGTTAAAGATCGTTATCCAATTAGTCAAAAGCTCATGTAATAAATTGCCCGAATTAAGGTGCGGAATTTTAATTACATAATTTACGCGTGCGCTCCATATAAATGACGGGCGGGAGGAGGCGACGTCCGAGTGTGGGCTGTATTAGAAGGAAATATGGGCAAGTAATGTAAAAAAGTAAACATAATGAGACGTTTTTGTTGTAGTCTCACGAATATTGAATACCCTTACTTCACATATTCATGGATATCGGCTAACAAAATGAGATTGAAACTTTTCAATGAAATTGATTGATTACAATAAATAGATTGATTGATAAATTTGCCACTGATATATGGTTTAATATATATCAAACCATATAAAACAGACGTATTTATCAATAATTTTTCTATAACTATTTATCTATATCTATTTATCTATATACATTTATTTACATCTATATTTATATCTAAAATCCTCTTCAGAATTGTCACCTCATTTTATTCAAATCGCGTACATCTACCAATCAGATATGAATAACTGAACACACAACGTGTCACACTTTGCTTCAAAATGCAAACAACTCACTCTAGTTAGGGTATTGAGCAGAACTAAACAAACAAGCAGAAAAATCAAGGAGACAAGAACGCAACGGTTAGGCCGAAGTCAAAGTGCGTTTGATAGGTCATCTTAATAGAAAAGTACACGCAATTTGTGTGCCGCGTGTCATTAGAAAAAATGACAGTAATAACGATAATTATGAATTTTATCCGATTAACCGCCGCCCAAAAGGTGCGTGGGCCAAGTGACGGGGCATAAGTCAAAAACCAAAAAAAAACTGCTGTAACGCTTCAGTTCGCTCCTGGCTTGGGACATGTGTGTGTGTGCGGCACACACATAGGTGTATTCAAAGTATTAAGTGCAATGCGTGCCATTGAACAATTAATTCTTATCTACTTAGCCAATGTCGAGTGGGGCAGGTTGGTGGTGACTGATGCAACAGTCAGTTCTTTGACTCCGCTCACCCTGTGGCAGTTCTACTTCCATTTTCATTTTCATTTCATTTTCATTTCCATATTCAGTTCGAGCACAAGTTTATGTCGCTTGCAACTAACCAACTGTCAGGTCGTGCCTCTCACCGCCCTCCGCCCACCGCCCACCTTTCAATTTGCCACCTAGTGGCTGGCATTTCTCACGTGTCATCGTGAGGACCAACTGTGAGCTCCAATTGCGTGTCAAATGCGCTCAATTCTGTTATGACAATGCGATGTAATTAGAGGCCACGCATAGGCTCGCCTCATCATAACGATAATGCTAATGATGATGATGATGACAATGATGGTGCGTCCAGGTAAGTCCGCTCGCTAATATATGAGGCCCCTAGCCCTATCTGGGTGTGTACCGCACTTGATAAATATTATTGTAAATGGGCCCGAGATGACTGTCGTTCGCCTCCACACATGACAACAAAATGGGCACACTAGAGGCGTGCGCTTCTGAATTTGCATATGGCAAGTAGCCAATGACTAATACACTTAAGCACACACACACCCCATTGCAAAGGCTTACCTGGTTTCAAGTTGTATGAAATAGCTCACTTCTTTTTACCAAATTTCTTTGCAATCTGGCAACAGCTGCACTGAACTGCACCAGTTGAGATACTTTAGGCATAGTTGTGTCAGGCAACAGGAATCTGTTGAACATGGGCATTCTGGGTGAGTGTAAGAGGTAGAAGAAGAGAGAGCATATACCTTCTGTATACTAGTTATGTCAGTTATTATGCCTAATCGATAACTTCCGTTTCAAATCGATTATAAATTACATTTTTAGTATATGCAATATCTCATGATCTTCAAAACATTTATTCAAACAAATTTAATTTAAAGTTTCTTCAAAAATATGAGTTCTTTGCGTTCCTCTCGCAAATTCCTTTCTAAATCCATATACAAATCTGAAATATATCTACTTATTATATTATCTTCAGCCACTCGGCATAGAGTTCAGGGTATCTTTTAGTCTAGCAACTGCTACGACAGCAATCTCAGCTAACTAATGAAGCATATATTTTACTATAAGCAAATGTACATAGAACCTAAAATTCTGAACTATTTTAACTACTAGACGAATATTAACTACCAAGTAGTTCCAAGTTTCCCAGTTTGTTTTCGTAAGCTCGTTCTATTTCCTAAGTTTCTGTAAGCTAAAGGAAAAAAAGTAATTAGACTAGACACGACTTGAACTGTCTCATGTTCTTATCTCAGGGTATCAGCTTTTAAGTGCGACTTCTTCACGATTTCATTAACTTTTATTGTTTTGTTCATGTCTCAACTGAGTATATAAAAGCGCTGAGTTGGTTTAAAGCTTCAGTTCAGATTCAAGACAACTTTTGACATAATGCAGTTCCAGTGCAGAAATTCTTTGAGCCTCGTCGCCTTGGCTGTGGCCTTCGTCTGCTTTGTGCAAATGACGCCCACTGCAAATGCTGTAAGCGTGGAACTAGTTCAGCTACCGAGCTGCTATTAACAAGATTATTTATTTGCAGCTCTGTTCCACCGATCAACTGAAGGCCAAGGCTGACAATATTTGCAAATCTTTTATCTTGATGCATTTTCCCTGTCAAGAAATGTTCAAAGTATGCAGTTCGATAGCTAGGTGCTTCTCGGAATATTTCCTATCTAAATAATATGAAATTCTGTTTTCAGCAATTCCTGGGCATATTCGAATCTATCTGCCCAAGTGATGGTGGTAGCAAGCCACCGACCTCAATTTCAAATACTACTGATGCTTCCAAAGCCTGAGCTGGCGGTATATTGCTGGCATTCTCCAGATGACTTTTTGACTTCAATACTACCGATATTCGTTACTATATAAAATTGAATAATATTCGTATAGTTTGCTTTGTAAAAAATATATTTAAACTATCAGCATGTAACTATTTCGTAGTTTGTTTTGAACTGAAAAGCTGAATCTCGCGGATGCTGCGAATTGGTCTGCAATCATTTTGTAATTGCGCTCGCAGACGCGATTCCTGAACCGCAGAAGGCCGGGCCAAAAACCCGTTAGGGCAACTAATTAAAACCACTTTAGCAATGCTTTCTCAACTGTAAAGTTAGCTATAAACAACGACTCAAAGCAGATGTAGGTGCGCATGTGTGCGAGTGTGCGTGTGTGTGTAGATTAAGAGACATATGAAACATGAAACAAAATTAAAATGCAAATAATATTCAGAGCATTTCAGCAAGGGCGGAGCGCTAGAAAAATTCCAACATAATTCCAAATAATATCACAACACCTGCAGAAGCGTTTTAAGTGCACAGACGCATACATTCGCACACACACACACACTCACAGAGTGTGTGTTAAAGGGGGTATTTCTTGAAAAATCGCTGCACTGGAATTAATTAATTCGCTGCTGCCGTTTTAGTACCTAGCAAAAATAGAAAAAAAATAAAAGCCCAGGCTGTGATATCAAAAAAAAAAATATGCGAATCGAGTTCAGGTCGGGCGCTAGGCGACCCAAAGAGAGCGCTACAATAAATGATCAGGGAAAGTAAATAATATGGAACTGAAGCTTATAGTCATGCGATTCTAGTCTAGTCTAGTCTATAAATATTTATAAATATATTCACATTTTTAAGATACTGATAGAGAAACACTTGAAATATTTGCTTGGGGTTCGGAGTTCGAATCTCTAACCCTTCATGCAGGTCAGTGCTAAAAAAAAATAAATATAATAATAAGGCAATGCGAATAATAAGACATTTATGGCTTATCTTCGGCGCAGTAAAAATTGCTTAGAAAAAAATGAATTTAAATTATAATATTTGAAAATTTCTTATTCAGCTACAAACACTTTCGAAACATTTCGAGTATTAACTCTATATATCATATGTATTCAAGCCTAATATCTTATATTTGAGTGCTTAAGTACTCAACACATTTCTGACCATATCATGAATACTATTCATAACATTCATTTCGCTGATTCAGTATGCGTCATATAGAATTTTTGATTCTGATAAAAGTCTGAGCTGGTCTGAGTGTGTTTGCACCTTTGCACTGCATTTCTCTCTCTCTCCCTCTCTGTCGCTATACGCGTTCTATGGCCCTCTCTGTCACTCTGCCGTGTGCTGTAGTGGCACTTGCTGCTCATTTTATGCCTCGATTGGCAGCAAAGTGCAGACGCTTTTTGCAGGCGCAGCTGCTGCTGCTGTAAAAAGAGAAGAAAAACTGAAAACGCTTCGCAACGTTAAGTATACAACATGACAGACAGTGAAATGCTAAAACAATTTCAGACATAAGCAACCCGACCAAAACTGCACCAAGTGTGCGCTATGGAAGCAGACATATGCGTAGCATACTCGCAGGCTGGTCACTCAAATGTTGCGTGCAGGGTGACCATATATACAAAACTGAGCTTTGGAATCGAATAGAAATTGATCGATTAAGCACAAGTTAGCTCTGACTGATAAATACCCTGCGCTGTTTTGCTTAGATGTATGGGTTGCCTCAAGAGTTCAGGGTATTATAGGGTATTATGTACAGTTACAATGTTCTTCAGTAGCCCAAAGATAAGCCAGCATATGGTTTTCATTTCTCTTGTCTATTAGTTACAGTTGTAAGTCAATTAAATAGAAAAATGTAATTAAATAAGCTTAAGCCATACTCTGTATAATGGATGTGAAGCTTATACTTGTTGGTAAAGCTAAAGTCATATATATATATATATATATATATATATATATTTATGTATGTATATATATTACAGAGTCCATTTCACATATCTGCGATAACAGTCACAGCTCATTTGCTGCTTATGGAAGCATTTGGTCAGCGCTTAGTGCTGCAAATTGAGCAGAAAATCGGTTCGATTAGTTTGCTCGATCTATAAAAGCTTGAGCATATGTGGAATGGTCAGATCTGTCTATCTGCCAAATGGCTGCAACCGGGATCTACTTTGTCGGCGCTCTGTTGCTGTGCCTTTGCGCTTGTGCTTGGGCAGCTCCATCCGTGAGTGATTTGGAGCAGTTTGGGGAACTGGAGCGCACGCTCAAGGATCTGGCCACATCGGTGCTGGCCATGAATGGTGGCACTGCTGGTGGCGGTGAGTCTGGCATGAGTAAGTACTTCCTGCTTCCAAGCATGACTCTGTTCACAACTCGGTGCTCTCCTTACAGCGGATGTCAATGCGAGGGATCTGGAGAGCGATATGGATTGGGAAAGCGATGGCGCGACTATTTTGGAGTATCTGAACAAGCTGTCCCTATGAAAATGGTCCGAGTTGACGGAGCTCAGTTCTCGGTGCTGCTAGACAATGTTTTAGCAGACTTGTAGCACCCAAAAATGCACAGAAAATAGAAAGGAATTTTTTTTATTAAAAGTAGTTTTCATAAAGAAACAAGATTATAATTTGAAGGGATTCATACATATCTGACTCAAGTGCAATTTCTGGGCATTATTTATATTAAGGTCAAGTTCTAAGATTGGCGTAGATTTTATTATTGAAATCACAGTTAATCTGAAAATAACCAAAGCAATTTCGTCAAATTGACTCCAATCCTAATAAAACAATAGGTAAATGACTACACACATCTAGATATACATATATAAATATATATATTTATATATATATATATCTGCGTCTATCTGGCAAATTACGAGTTCTAAATCTGGCACATTGTATGCTCTGTCTCGCTTATACGTCGGCCCACATTGGCCGAGCTCGCGCCAATTACTGAGCTCAATTTGCGCGCGAAGCCTAATCAAGTTAGTTTACGCCAACGATTCCTACACTTTTGGCACCCCACAATAATCCCAGACAGCGACCTAAAACCAAAGACAATGTCTGTCTGGCTTTGAGCATGATCTGTGGTTCCGCTCGCGAGATCCAATTGACGCCAGCTCGCCCAATTGCGACCTCAAGACAATGGGCAGGTGATTAGATAAACTTCAAGCTGTCAGCTGTTCTCGCTGCTAAAATTATCGCAGCAAAACAAAAGCAACGCGTGCATACCCTGTAAGCAAACAGAAAGAGTTGTTAAGCCGAGGCACACAAAACTTTCTACAGACATACTGAAAGGAGAACGAGACTTCTCTGCGATTCTCACAGCCATTTTGTACAGGGTATACATAAGATAATAGACGAAATGCCATCATATCATTAATAATAGTAGTAGCAACAAGTTCGCTGCTCGCAGCTGGCATCCGAAGTCCGAGAATGTTAAGGCAAATCTAAATCAGAATCGGAATCAGTATCAGAATCATGAAAATTTAACAGGCTGCTCGTTCAGTTTGGGCTGCTCGCCCGTTCGCTTAGCTGTGCCAGCGGACCCGAAGACAGCCAACAGCCAACGGCCATCCAACAATCATCCACTGGGATGTGCCGCATGTGCGATCTGTCAGTTACTTTTCGTGCGTTCAACTGTGCGGTGGCATTTTGATTTTGATAACTTCTCTTCTCTCTTGTTTTTTTTTAATTTATTTTCTGTGCAACTTGCAACAGCTGATTTGACTGTTCAATCGATATAGTGACCGATATCTGATTGTGACTGTGACTCGGCGAGATGCATGTAGACGAGCTGCGCATTAGCCTGCAGAGCTTCGGCTGGCCGGACTATGTGGTCTTCTGCCTAATGCTGGCCATCTGCGCCGTCATCGGCATTCATTTCTGTCTACAGCTGCGCCGCGAGTCCAGGCAGCTGAAGGCCACCGGCGCTGAGGAGGCGGCCAACAGTGCCGCCTCCTACTTGGTGGGCGGCAGAAAAATGAAAATCTTTCCCATCACCATGTCGCTGATCTCTAGGTGAGTACCATATCATTATAATCAGAAGAGCCAATATAGCTCAAATATCTCCTAAGGCAATGGACTCTTGTCAATTTCAAATTGAGTTGTTAGCTCAGAGTTAGAGATGTTTCCTACATCTGTAAGATCTGTAAGTAGATCGTAATGTAAACACAAAAGCTACAGCTTCTTATTATTTTGTTATTATATAAGTGAATCCAATTGGTTTTATAGCTGTTAAGGTTCTAGCTCTGTCAGTCGATCAAAAGTCTTTTAAACTATCTATTTTCTACGCTGCACTTGGCTAGCAAAGAGTTGGGACTGTCTTGGGCAGAGGCAGACTATAGTTGCAGTCAGTGCACTTTCTAGGGGTAAAGCTAATGATAATAGTTATTATAATATGCCAGTTCTAGGGGTTCCATGGCGTTCAATTTGAGCTGAGAGATTGCTCCACTTACAGCTAGTTACAGCTGGAACTGTGAACTGTGTGAACTGTGAACGCTGCCTATCAACGCAGCAAATCAAATTGTGTCATATTTTCTAAATGGACTCGCAAGAGCGACGACTGTAGAAGCCCATGCTGAGAGTAGTCCGTATACGGGCCACTCGAATGGCGACAGCGAGCAAGTCGCTGTTAATTAAATTGCATAAAACGCTCTTTGATCTCCCCAAAAGAGTTTTTATTTCGTATTCGTTTCTCGTTTCTCGTTTTTTGGCTGAGAGCGGAAACGAATTTGACTGAAGGTCAAGTGGCTGGGCTACGAAGCTCATTTTTGACAACTCGTGATGACATGTCTCTTCCATTCTATTCTCGTCAGCTTTATTTCGGGCATCACGCTGCTGGGCACACCCACCGAGGTTTACCTGTACGGTGCCCAGTATCTGTACATCATGGGCTCCCTGGTGCTAATGGGCCTGTGCATGTTCTACATATTCTTGCCAGTGTTCCATGAGCTCAACCTGATATCCACCTACAAGGTATGTGCCCATCGCTCGCAGTCAGCCAAGTCGCAGTGGCTAAAGAATGTTTAACTTTACTTCATATATAGTATCTGGAGCAGCGCTACAATCGCAGCCTGCGGCTCTTTGGCTCGATCATGTTCATCATGGCTTCGGTAAGTGCAAGATCAGTTCAATCGACCAGGAAAGACTATGATATGTTAAGCAAACATTATCGATTTCTATGCCCTTTTACAATCTTGCAGCTCCTGTGGCTGCCCATTGTGATCTATGTGCCGGCCATAGCCTTCAACCAGGCGACGGGCGTCAACATACACATTGTGACGCCGTGTGTGTGCGTGGTGTGCATCTTTTATACGTGCATTGGCGGACTGAAGGCGGTTGTCTGGACAGATGTGGTCCAGACGCTGATCATGTTTGGGGCCATGGCGCTGGTATTGATCAAGGGCACACTGGATATTGGAGGACCGGGCGTAGTCTGGCAGCGAGCGAAGCAAACCGCTCGCATTGAGTCGCCCAACTTTACATTCGATCTCAGTGAACGTTACACCTTCTACTCCCTGGTGCTGGGCGGCGTGGCCCACTGGCTGAAGTCGAATGCCATCAGTCAGAATATGATCCAGCGATATCTGTCGCTGCCCACGCTGAGACATGCGCGTATCGCAATCTGGACTTTTATAGTCGGTGTGCTAGCCTTTCTGGCTATCTGCGGCTATACGGGTCTGCTCATCTATGCGACCTACGCGGACTGCGATCCACTAGAGACGAAACTGGCGCAGCGCAACGATCAGCTGCTGCCGCTGCTGGTCATGGAGACACTCGGCTCGTATCCCGGCCTGCCCGGCGTCTTTGTGGCTGGAGTTTTTAGTGCGGCGCTCTCCTCGCTCTCCACCGGCCTCAATTCACTGTCGGCCGTCGTACTGGAGGACTTCGTTAAGACCTTCCGCCATGAGCCGTTGAGTGAGGCGCAGACTTCGTTTGTCATGCGCAGCGTCGTTGTTCTCTTCGGCGTGATCTTTGTCGCCTTGGTCTTCATTGTGGAAAAGCTGGGCGCTGTGCTCCAGCTGACCATCACACTGACTTCTGTGGCCAACGGACCTCTGCTGGGCATCTTCACATCGGGTGTTTTGTTGCCCTGGGTCAACTCGAAGGGCGCGCTGCTTGGCGGCATTAGCTCGCTTGTTGTCATGGCCTGGATGTGCATTAAGGCACAGCACGATCTGGTCACGGGCGACTTGGTCTATCAGCGCAAGCCCTACTCCACGCTGGGCTGCAACTACACATTTTCGGGAGAGCGGCGCGCCTTTAGCAGCCTGCCGCTAGATGGCGGCATCAGGTGAGGCGCATCACTTGCCTTTGGAATTATATTGAATTCATTTGTCCTATCCATTCGCGTTGCAGCGCCGCCTCGGATGCCCCCTTTCAGCTGTATCGAATCTCGTATCTGTACTTCACGCTCTTCGGCGCCCTGCTGACCATCATAGTGGCGCTAGTGACGAGCCTGCTGCTGCGCGAATCGGACCTAGATGCGCTGGACACCCGCCTGCTGACGCCGTTCGTGCGCCGCTGGCTAGAGCGACGTCGCAGTCGGCGCACGCAGCTGCCAGCGCTGAAGATGGTCAAGCTGGGCAAGCGCACGCTGGGGCAGGACACGGCAACGTGAGCAATGGATGTGCTGGTTAACGGGTGAGGCAGTGCCGTCGCCGCCGTGACTGCTGCCGGCCAAAATGTTCCTTTGGTAGCTTAGTAAATATTTAAAATTAAATAAAATACGATTCATAATTATTTGGTCTTTGTGCTGCCTGCAAATGGGTTCAAAGCAGCTGCTTTTTTGTGTAATTAGAAAAGGGCCCGCAGTGCTGGAACTAGAACCGGACCTGAGCGAACCCAAAGCCTCAACCTTAACCTTTGCCAAATCAAAGCAAACTACTAAGCAAATAAATAAAAAAAAAACAAGCAGCAAAATAAAAAGAAAAATACAACTAAAATTGTGCCTCCTAACCTGGGCTTGGGGTGCGAACTGCAAAGGGTTTGACCCGAGTTTTACTTGTGCTGTTAATTGAATATTTACTGTTTTTCATGTGCTCGTGTGTGTGTGTGTGAGTGCGCGTGTGTTTGGCAAGACTAACTCATCGTAACTACTTATTAGTAGTCATTGCCAGGCCCTTTGCCCTGCCGCTCCTCGAGTCTTTGTCTCTGCTCGTCTGTTTATTTGTATGTTTAGGTCGTTTATGCAGCAAATTGAATTGTTAATGAGCTGACAAATGTTTGCGAAATTAGTTTTCAGCCGGACAACAACAAACAGATGCCAACTAAAATCTATACAAATTAAAGCAGAACATGGAAACCTTTCAAATTATACATAGAGTTAACCAAACAATATTTTGCTGCAGAGCATTAGGAAAGCAACTAAGGCATTGCAAGGACTCTAAAAAGAGGAACAGAGTATATAAGTGGGGAGTGCTTGACTGCAAGATACCACTGAATGTACCACTGCTCAAACAGCAGCTGACTCTCTTAACTTTCCAGCGCTGTTCTCTATAATAAAAGAATTCGTAAGTAACTGAAGTTTGGTTAAGTTTAGTTGCATGCAACATTTTATGACTTTAGCTGTCAAAGTATTTTAGTTATGTTAAAGAATTCCAATTCACTTCACAATCTATCAATGTTTCGCCTGTCTTAACTTACTAATCTACGCGTATTATAGAATATATATTTATCAACTGCCAGGGCTCGATCTCTTGTAGTTTCCAATCCATGCTTAGTTCTACTCAGCTCGTCCTTATGAAAAATGAGGTTGAACATGCTGCCATCTACCTGCTGCATAGACTTACACAAAAGGATTCGGTGCCTTTCAGCCGTTTGGGGGTAAGCCAGCCGGCCAGCCCGGCCAGCCCGAGCAGCCCGCTCAATCCAACTGGTACACTAATATGCTGTATAGAATTTCCATTGCTAGTTGGCTGGCTGGCTCTTAATTAGCCGCTGCTAAAATAAGCTCGCACAAAAGACAGCGGCGAAAATGTCATCAGAATGCATAATGACAACGGTTCGTTATGGACACCCTGGGTGGGGTGGGCCTGCGGCTGGTGGGCTGGTGGGCTGGTGTGGGGCTGGCAGTCCAGGTGCAAATCTCAAAAACAGACATGGCACATGTGTGCCACCTTGCGGCGCATTCAAAGCTACGGCTAACATGCATGGCCAGATCCAGTGGCAGAGCCCAGTGACAGCGGCAGTTGTCATATGGGTGGATTGTTTTTTGGCCACGACGGAAACGGAAGCTGCCTCGCTAACGTGCATGCCATACGCCGTCACCAATAACAGCAGCAGCAGCAGCAGCAGCAGCAACACCAACAATAGAAGCAACAACAGGCACAAAAGCTGCTCAGTTAACTTGTTTATGTCGCTGTTTGCTTTTGTGTTACTTTTTATGTTGGCATATAATTTGTGCCTTCTTTTTTTAGAGAGCTTCTGAAGCTTATTAGCTGCTGGCAGTGTTTTGCCACACTGGCAGGCAAACATTAAGCTGAATCATGCTGCTTTTTTAAATATTTCGAGTTCTGGTTGAAATAAAAGGTATCTGCTCGTTATAGCCGATTCGTTACCTATTGCTACTAGTTACGTCATGCCATTTAACTCGCTTCGTTACTACTACTGCTACTATTACTACTCGTTACTTTGGCTTACTCACTATTGTGTTCTACTCGTTACTTTGTTATTCTCGTCACTTTCATTTATTTGTCTTTTTGTTTATCCCTGCTCTTTGATCTATTCGTTAACTTGTTCTAATCGTTACTCTATTCTATTCGTAACTTTCTTGTGCTCATTGCTTTTTGCACTCGTTGGGTTGTGTTTCGGCTTCTACTACTATTCATTATTTGCTAACATCTAACATCTGTTAGCTTTGTTCACATGGAAATTTTATTTTACTCGTTACTTTACTCCACTCGTTACTTTATTCAATTTTTACTTTGTTTTACTCGTTACTGTGTGTTATTCGTTACTTTACTCTACTAGTTAGTTCTACTCGTTACTCAACTGGTTACATTGCTGCACTCGTTATTTGGCTGTGTTTCATTCGTTGTCTTGGCCTTTATTTTACTTCATACTTAATATGCCATTGAGCAACTCGGTTTATGGCAGCGCATTGGTAGAGTAACAAATTTCAACTTCAAACAAAATGTTCGCATACTAATGCAGCTGTTGACTAGGCTGCCCTGCCGGCTATAAATGCCAGTGACAATTTGCAGTGGGTCTGCAAGTAGCTCCGCCCAGCCGCCCACTCTTCTTCTGTTTGTCGCACTCTCCCTCTCGCTGCCCTCCCTCTCTACATAGCCGATTCTAAGCCGACCCAAGCAACGCCTAACCGGCAAGGTGGGGGCGTTTGAGGCGGCTGCTGTTGCTGCGGCACAAAAGTCATTTTTGATTGTTTTCATGAAAATGAACATAGAAAAATTATAATTAAAATTCATATGGAAATTGTCGAAAAAACACAAAAAAAAAACATATTCTGCTCGGGCCCTGTCCGAACAATGGAACGTTAGCCTTGTTGTTGTTGTTGTTGTTGGCGCAACTGCAGGCCAAAAAAGATTTCATCTGAAAAACCTAAAGACCAAAGAAATGCAACTGGGGGCAATGGAAATTTTTATTCGGGGTCAGGTGGCGAGAGGTTGGCAAAACGGGCTACCAAGTCGGTTGAGCTGCGGGCGTATTGTTTGTGGAACATGTGTTAAGCACACACACACACACACATATACATACACTACATAAAACGACAACAATGTCAGGTCTAACAATATTAGGAGAACGGCCTCCACCTGAACCAGCTACACGGCCCCATTCTCTTAATCCTTTGCCCCAGCTACGCCCCCTTTGGCAGCCAGCACCGCCCACAAGTATGCAAAGTGGTCAGGCAAACGCATGCCGGCTGCTCATTTTCTTGTTGTCGTTTCATTTTGGCACTTTTCCTACACTTTTATGCGATAAAATATTTAATTATATTTGGCAGCTTGTTTGTGCATTGTGCGGTTCGCCTTTGCCTTTGCATTTGCCATCATCCAATTAACATTGCCCTGGGGAAGCAGCAGCAACAGTAGCAGCAGCAGCAGCAGCAGCAGCAACAGCTGTAGTTGCACGAATAGTGAAGCGAATGGGAGCTCAAATCAGCGACTCTGAATGCGACTCGCCCTTACATTTCGACAACGATCGCAGCAGCATTTGAATGGGAGCAAAGCGCTGCCTTCTATTGAAGCTCTTGTAGCGTGTTCCTATTGCAACACTGGAACAAATGGAATCGAAACGTGCTTTATATCGATGCCGCTCAAAAGTATGCAACGGTTTTTGTCAGCACTGCGGCGCGCACTTTATTTCAAAGTTGTACGAAAACACAAAACAAAAAGGTAAAACAGAATCAATTGTACGCCTTAGCCAGGTGCCACTGTGGGCGCTGTTGTAGCCGGCGTTGTTGTTGTTGTCGTAGTTGTTGTTGTCGTGGTCAATGGCCGCTTAATGATCGTCACGCGTATGCAGCCGGCATGATCCACATGCTCGCCAACAGGTGCCGCATGCAGCTGCCCCATGAGCGAGAGCAGCAGCAGCAGCGGCAGCAGCGGCGGCCCAAACATTTGTGAATAGCTGCGCATCAGGCTATGTTAGCTGCACCACTGAACCACTGGACCACTCAACCTGTTGTCAAACTACAACTGCTGGCTGCACCCACCACTCGACGCCGATTTATAGTCGTCTTCCTCGCGGAATCAAACAATTATTGCCAACTTCATAGTTATATATTTATAATTTTTTATTGTATGCTTGACAGCTCCAGCTCCGTTTAGTTTCATTCATATGATATAGATAGATGCTTAGATAAATAACGCGCTTACAATGAGCAATGCACTGACCAAGGCTTGCAGCTGAGCTCTCACTGAAGTCTTAATCATAAACAATTCGATATATATAAATATACTCACTTTCATATATATGATTAGGGCTCATGGCTCAGCTTTCTTGCTGTCTGTCTTCGAGTTGCACTGCCAGTTCCGGTCGTAAATAGCTGTGAATGCAAGTGGCGATAAGAGCATTTATTACAAAGTGCCATTAGGACAATCAAGATGTCGCTCAATGATGTCATTTGCGGTAAATTCCCCAGCCACGCAAACTGTCAGCCTTCGGCTCTAGATTGATTCGTATGCAATTTCGTGTGGCGTTTTAATAGCTACAGATTCGCATCTCTCAGCAGCAAATGACAGAGCAGCATCTCTCGCTGCATCATTTGGGCGTTACCAGCTTTTTACATTCATAAAAAATAACAAACGAATGGTGAGTAATGTACAGCTTTTAATTGCAACTATTTCACGTGAGTCGAAACACAGGCATCAATGGGCACTCGAGTTGTATGTGATGAAATTAGAGCTTTGCTCGTGGCGGCTTCTGAGTTGTCAAGTCGCTTTGCGATACAATATTTAATTAAGTATATTTATATGTGTATTTTTTATGATTTGTCTATAAGAAGAGATGTTTAATCTAGTATCTGTTGGTAAAAACAAAAAAGTTGTTAGCCAGAAAAAGTCTTGAGACTGCTTAAGAGTTATAGAATAGAAGAGAACTGTTAGCATTTCCAGGGACTCAGCAGAGTTTTTTGCTTGAAGATTACTCTGAGAAGATTCATTCTGAACTAGAAATTCCTGTAGAAAGTAAGAACATTTCTAAATATATAATATCTATAATATCTATCTGATATATCAGCAGATCTCTGTCTCTATTTTTCCGAAACATCTCGATATAGCTTAGCCGAAAATTAATGCCAGTTGGCTTAAGCTACATTCCTTTGAGAGTGCAGCCTAAGTGAAACACAGTTTGGTTTGCTTTTCACTACATTCACTTTATTGAAGTGTGTCAAAGATTTAATACAGTGCGAGGTTAATATATTTTCATGTAGTTTTCGTGGTCCTTCAGATCAGTTGCTTGGTTCAGCGCCGAGTTCAGCCAGAGCTGGAGGCTGTGGTAGTGCGTGGCTTCGGTGGCGGGCCACCATGTGGCGGCTGGCCGGAGGGAACGCCAGCTAAGCCGGCGTTAAAGCTGGCCACCGTGGTCGAGCGATGATGCTGAGCATCCTGATAGGGCGTCACTCGAGCTGTGGCCACTTGCTGTATGCGAAAAGAAGCCGCCAATTAGCTGGAGCACAGACGCCTTGGAGGCTCCACTGGACTTACCAATACGGCCAGCATGGCCAGGGTCAGGGCTAGCAGTAGATGGAGACGCATGTTTGCTGCTTCGATTCGTTCGGCCAGTTGTGGCAATGTGTGTCGAGGCTGGCGCTTATATGGACCGCGGCTTTGCAGCGGGCTCGTAATTGCAGCAAGCGAGCAATTAGAGGGCCACATTAAAACCTAATTGAGCTGTTGAGCTGCTGATTTGTTTCTGTTTGGGTTTGTTTGTGTCTGTGTTTGTTTTTTTGTTTATTGTTTTTTTTTTTTTTTATGTAAAACTAATTCAGTCGTGATTTTGTTTATTCACGCTCTTTCGACGTGCGACACACAATTATCATGTGCACTGAAGCCACGTTTTGCTGAAATCATTCATTTTTCCACTTTATTTTTGCACTTGACTTTGATTTTGGTTCGGGCTCACATTCGCTGAGGCAATCGATCTGTCAATGCACCAAAGTCCATGAAAGAATCTAGACGTATCCCTGTTGCAAACTGCAGGCAAAGAGATTAGACTCGAGTATGAACTGCACTAAAGGCATCTAATGAAATGAACCAGTTCAATAGCTCATTTGAATAACTCAATTACTCAATAACCTGTAATCAGAACATACAATGCAAACGTTTTGGACTATTAGCTTGATTCAAACTTGGCTTATGTTCTCTATAGTCTGCAGACTTCTTAGAGCTGACATTTCTCTCAGATTGTTCTCCCATGAATAGTTCATCTGCGGGCTCGCCCAGAAAGGGCCCACAGATGCTATTGTCTGACTGCTCGCGGACCCAACGCGCTCCAAATTCCTTCAAGTTCATGGCCTAAGAAATTTTCTGTAAGCTCTACTCTATAACTAAAAATTTATGCTCAAACAAATGACAGCAAATGCAGAGCTAAGCTCAATCTCTTGCACAAGTCAAAGTTTCCAGCTTCTGGCGTATCGATCTGCTCATAACTAAGTGCTCTAAAAGCTAGCGCCATCAATACAGATCTAGGTAATATGTAATGCCAAACTAATGAAATGTAGTGAAGTCATTTGCCAGAGGCTTTTACAGGTCTTAGCCAGGCGAACTGCTTCTGCTTGTCAGCCATTTGATCTACTGCGAGGCCTGATGATGATGTTTGCCTTATGCTGGAGCCGGGGGATGGATAAACATAAACGTGTCGAGCATCTTTTATTGCGATTTCTTTATATACCGCCTGCGAAGGTGTGCAAATACACTTGACAAAAGTAAGGTGAAGTTACGAAGCTCTTATAGATGATGATTTAATAATATATATTAAAAGACGGCGTTAACAGCGCGCAAGACTATCAGAAGTTGAGCGAAGAAGCTCAAGCGTGTTAGATTAAAGGTATACATACTTTGTTTTCAGTGTATGATTTGATTGTGTGGCATATGCGGATGGTTGGGCAAGTGTCATGTAACAAAACTTTGACAGATTTGCCACAGGATATCGCACAACGTGAGAGGGGGCGGGCGGGGCGACGTCGACACATCGAAAAGGAAAAGTCGTAAACTACAACCAAAGATGACGATGATGGAGGGTGAAGCAATACCAAATCGTAAAAGGCCAAGGCAGCAGACAGCATTTCAGATAAATATGAAGCTCTGTATCTGTGTGTGTGTGTGTGTGTGTAGTGGCAGCAGCAGCATTTATTGGATTTTTATGATAAGCAACGACAGGTCGACGACAGTCACTCACAGCCCCGGCGTGGCTTCTCTGATTTTTATTTGGCTTTGTGTTTGGCAACATTTTCGGTTGCTGTTGGAAAGCACTTAGAGGGCAAATTGTTGCTCTTATCGCTAATAAGATGACAAGCCAACAACAACAAACATGAGAAGAAAAGTCTGTCGAGTTGCTGCTGCTGGCAGCTGGCAGCTGTAAGCATCCGTGCGCCTTGTCCTGTGGCAATGTCGCCACGCACAATGCAAATCAAATAAACAATAAATTCAGCGACGGACATTGTCGCATAAAGCAGATACAATTGCAGTGGCCCAATGCCCGGCCACTGCTCTATACCTGACAGGCTTTCGGCTGCCCGCCTGCCCGCCTGCAGCAGACAATGGCGCACACCGGCAGTAAAACGCATGCATATCCTATAAGCATTAAGGATATCCTTGAGTAGATGCAATTTTCTAACCAATATAATTCATAAATTTATTTTCAATCCTTTCCGCACATAAATTTTCATATTATGCGCACACACACACATATGGAAAGCAGCCTTCTCGCTTTGACTGAGGTCTTTGAATACCCTAGTGTAAGTGTTTGAGCGGGGTATATTAGTTTTATGTGAGAGCAAGGCAGCATCTTTGATTCTTTATACTAATTGCACAGACTTCTCTTGAAAGCTCTGAATCGATTCAGCTCGAGAGTAGCATTAGCTGAAGCGAGCTGACATTTGAGACTTATATAATGCATTTAACGACTATAAGAGCAACAAGTATACCAACCTCCCAGGCTAGTATAACTCTCAGAGATTCTCAGAGGCATAGCTAGCAGCATCTTGAGTAATATTCCATGCGCTACTTCATTGAGCGTAGGATCTAGTCACACAAACCCGACCGAAAATCCCATTTTGTTGCTTCCTATAGGCCTATTGTATTGCATGTCCTGTGCGTGTGTGTGTGTGTGTGCATTATTATTTGTCGTCGTGCTTGTCATTATTTATATGGCTAGGCAAGAGATAAGTTGCTGCAACGTTTTGCTGCTAAGGCGCAAGGACAACAACAACATAAAGCAGCTGAAGCTGCAGCTCCTGGCAATTACGCACACACACACACACACATACACACATACAGTTCGATATAACATTGCAGCCGGCATGTCCTTGGGCCTTCTAAGGTTTGTTGGCCCAACATTTTGATTTATAAATGCCAACGCCGACTTCGTCTCCGTCTCTGACTACGACTCCGACTCCGACTCCGATTTCTATAGGGAATATGATTCCGATGCCGACTCTGAGGCACAGTCTGAAGCCCAAAGTGCTGAGGCCTGCCTGAGTGCTTTCACTAGCGCCGGAAGCTGCAGCTGCTTTTGCTGACTGGCTACAGCTACGCCCTGACCCCGGCAGGGACCCCGACCCCAATCCCGAACCCAGCTCCGGCGCCTCTGCCTGTGCCTGCCTGTGAGGTAACCCAAGTGGCCATTAATATATCAGTTCAATTCATATTTGAAATTTTGCATATTCTAACACGCCAGTGAGCAGACCCCGCCCAGTCCCTGCGCTCGTCCTGCCAGTTGCCAGTTGCCAGTTGCCAGTTGCCAGTTAGCAGTTCCCATTGCACACGCATACGATTATGATTTGTGTCTTACTTAATGCACAGACAGCTGGGGTCAAGAGGTTGTTGTTCTTGTTGCCGTTGCACTTGGTGTTTGGCCAGCTTTGGCCAGCACACAATTGGACAGTGGAACAGACAGACAGACACAGAGACCGGACCAAGTTGCTGCCCGCCCGGTCATCGTCTCAATCTGATTGATTTAGAATTCCAATTGAGACTGCATGAAATATGTTTGTCTCGTATGTCTAGCTGCCTTCTGGCTGCTGCTGCTGCTGCTGCTGCTGCCCACCCACTCCCTTCCCTACCTCTGTCTCCGTCTCCTGCTGCCATCTACAGCGAGCAGTATCTTCTGGCTCTTTGCCTGCTGTCGCACTGCTGACTGCCCGAATGCCATTTATGCATGGGCATATCCTTTTGCGAAATTAGCATTTTCCAACAATTGCAACAGCAACAACAACGACTTATTGGTATTTCATTGATTTATGACACTTGTGAAACAATTTGGAAAATCACAGATTAGCAGGCCAGCCAGGCCAGTCGAGTCAGTCGAGCCAGTCGAGCCAGCCAGGTGGCTCGTAAACTGCACTAATTACACCCAACGCTTCATTGGCCCACACACAATCTCACACACCCAAGTCTCGATATATTCCTCTCGCATTATATGAACTTTGTCATAGGAATAGCAGCTGTAGTAGCAGCCCAGTCCTGGGGTTAATTGGTCAATTTAATTACACATGATTTTTGAGTAACATCAAAACAGAGACTAACTACAGGGCATCCGCAACTAACATTTGATAATCATATAAAATAATGCAAGCAACTAGAATTTCAGTTTCTCTGCTGAGCTGCCGAGCAATGGGCAGGGCATCGGAATGCATCGAGCCAGAAGTTTCCTAGAGCCAGGCGAAATATGGAAAGAAACATTTGGTTGCACAAAGCCATGCACTTATTAGGTATTTATTGCTTACAGTAATTATTAATTATAAAAAAAAAAAAAATAATAATAATAAAAATTTTAATATTAATAATAATAATAATAAAAAAAAAAAATAATAATAATAATATTAATAATAATAATAATAGTAATAGTAATAATAATAATAATATTAATAATAATAATATTAATATTAATAATAATAATAATAATAATAATAATTAATTAATTAATTAAATAATAAACATTTTCTGCTGCACATAGACAAAAAAGTCAAATGTTAAGTTGTTGATATCTAAATTAAATTTTGAATTATTTTCTATTATTATTTGTTGATTATATATTCATCAAGCTATCGATCATTATCTTTTACAATTTCAAGGCACTTCCAATGGCAGCTTGAGCTGAAGTTTCTCTCTTTCTTTGCAGTTCGGCGACTTCTTCAACTCTTTCAAGCTGACAGACTTCTCCTCTTTGCTCTCCCATCGCGTATGGATCTTTCACTTCGTCAATAAATCAATCGGTTGCAGCTACAGTGGAGCTAGTTAATCACGGACTGCTTGAGAAATTATCTTAAATTAACTGAACAATCGAACTGAACACATTTTAAGTGCTTCGGCCGAGATTTATTTGCTAGCCCACATACATATACACATACATGTGCACATGTGTGGGTGTGCGTATGTATGTGTGCTCACATTCACAGGCACATTTCGATTCTGATTCAGTTGCAGATTTGCATCCTTTTGCCGGGCTTCCGCTGGCTGTTGAACTAACGTGCAGTGATTAGGCTGTGAGGCAACAAACGATTTGTTGCATGTTGTTGCAATTGATTGTTGCAATTTCAATTTTGAATTATGAGCCCTGCGCCCGGCATGAGGACGAGGCCAAGCAATGGCAACGGCAACGGCAACTGCATCCTTTACCATGGCATCCGGTCGCTGCCCGCTTCCGTCCGACTGTGTGCTGCATGTGTGTGTTGCATGTGTGTGTCTGTGCGTGTGCGTGTTTATGTC